AAAGACCCTCTCCAGAACACTTGCTTCTGATGACTAACTATATTGTGCTAAATAGCAATATAACAGCAAAACATTCAAACATACCACATCCACTAACTGGGAAATTGCAAGGCCAAATTTCACTTTGATTGTATCATTCAAGCGTTCCACTGGGCGAACCCATCTTTCATAGTCTTCAAATAAGTGTTTAAACAAACGGTCTTCACTCTTTGCAATAAAAGATGGTTCAGATGTACCTGTATAAAAATCAAGCAGGATAATTCAATTACCTATAAAACACAGTATTTCAGTTCTCTTCTACACATTCTTACTACTGGCACTGCAAAAAAGGAAAACAAGAAACTATTTACACTTAACCAAAGTCACACATAATTTGCTATGAGTGAAAGGGGTGGGCAGAAAATTGAGCACCACAGAAAGCTACAATTTTCCTAACCTGTTTGTATATTGGCAACAGCAGGAAAAACAAATAAATAATTTCTGATCTCTTCTGCAGATTTGGCTCCTAATAGCAGCAAAATAAAATAGGATGATAACCCAGTTGAGATCATGCTCAGGATTCTTTCACATTCTGCCTCATCCTACATTTCCATATGTGCAAACCCCACCTAGTAGACTTGTTCACTACACAGAGCATATTTATTCCAAAATTTCATCTAGGGGGGGACATAGGCTGGTGTTCAACTGGCAACTACTGCTGACTCCAGGAGTAAAGGAGAAAACCTGGCACATAGCTGCCTGCCATGGCATTCAGCTGTGCTTAGCCTTCCAGTCCAGCAAATTAGCATGGCTGGAATGGAAATGTGCATGTGAGAGCAAAAAGATAATAGAAAGGGACAAGTTAAGTAGCAGAACATAGCCAGGATGCATAAAAGGGGCACTCAGCCACCTGAGCAGTGAGAGACTAAAGGAGAGTGGAAAACTGAAGAGAAAAACAGCCAAGCATTAATGAAACATATTTCAAAATCCAAGGTTCATCCTGATGTTTAGACTTCTTAGGATAAACACTACGTGTCTCCATTAAGAGTACAGTATATTTATATGGCAATATTATTTCTTATTGCGACCCAGCATAGTGTAGTGGTTTGAGTGTTGTACTATGACTTTGGAGACCAGGGTTCAAATCCCAGCTCAACCATGGAAACCCACTGGATTACTTTGGGCAAGTCACACACTCTCAACCTCAAAGGATGGCAATGGCAAACCCCTCTGAAGAAACTTGCCAAGAAAACCCCATGATAGGCTTGCCTTAGGGTGGCCATAAGTCAGAAACGACTCGAAGGCACACAACATTATTTCTTATGCACTTACAATGTCTCAATTGGGAATGAAGATAGGGGCTATGGCTTGATCTAAACATGTAAATACTTTCTTGACTAGCAGATAAGGTGCATACCAACTCAAATGAAAGGGATTGTATTGAAGATGCTATCCTGCAATAGAAAAGTTCTGAGATATTAGATCTTTTTCTTGATTTATACCTTGCCTTTCTCCCACAAATAAGACTCAAGCCAGAATGGAATATTAAACCAAACAAGTGATGACATGGCATATACAAAGCAGAGGCCCTTTCCTTCTTCAACACTCCTTTTGCATGAATTCCTACTTCCCTAGGGCAGCCAAGTAAATTGTTAAATATGAGGCTGAATTAGCTTAATTTAGCACAAATGGAATATGCCTTTAAGAATAGCTAAGAGATGAAGAAACACTCTGTAGACTCATTGCTCCTTATAGCTTGCATGGTCTTTTTCTCTGCTTTGGAGGAAGATATGGCAGTCATGTCTACAGCAGTATCATTCATTTTGCCCTCCAGATCCAAACCACCTAAACTGCACTGATTCTTCATTTACTAACATGTGGCATTTTTAATTTCTTCCATCTCAACCACAATCAACTCCAGTATTAAAGATTAGCAGAATGATCTCAAGATGTTTCTCATAGGCAACTGTAACTGTACATAGAGTATTTACATTAACATTACTACAGTGACAGGGAAAGGAGACATTTCTCCATGATCAGCTTGGATGGAGCTGGTAAAGCTGAGCTAAACTGCTAAGTCACACCAACTGCAGTGCTACCTGAGAATGCTAGAAGAAGCAGCAGATTAAAAGGTGGGGATATTGCTGACACAACACAAGTTTGGCTCTCATGCAACATTTATCATTGCAATGTTCAAAGAGCTAGAAAACTGGGATGTTTATGTAAACACCAGCAGCCTATCAGCAAAAGACTTATCTGTCAAGTGGATTTTGCAAGCTTAACCATGAACCAGTGGGAAATTCAAGCAGTACCAGGCCGTTTAAGGAAAGCAATTCAGCAAATATATGGCCTGCCTGTTACAGTACTCCTTCCCCTCTGTGCGTTAGCATCCTCAGATTAAGAGCTTAACGGAGCACAGAAATGATCCCTTCTGAATTATTTGGAAAGTGTTTGACATTTTGTAGACATCAATGTATGTAAGTGTAATTACTCAAGCGGTGGCCTCATGAGCTGTCTGGCAAAGTCACTGGCAATAATAATAATGCTCCAGACAGCTCACTTCTTATGTGCCAAGTGGATTTTGTGGATTTCACCAGCCATCTGCTAAAAGGGAAGAAATTATGCTAAATAAACAGACTGATCCTATACATGTTGACTGAGAAATAAGTCCTACTGAATTCACAAGACTTGATCCCAAGCATGCATATGAAAACTACATCCTTAAGGTTCTACAATGTAAATTTATTAATGCCAATTGCATTTATACCCTTGATAGGCTTGCCTTAGGGTCTCCATAAATCGGAAATGACTTGATGGCACACAACACCACCAATAACAACAATACATCCCACTTTTCTCCCAAAATAGGATCAAAAACAGTTGGATTTTTCTCACTGTGCCTCAAAACTAGAATCAGCAGAAGGCAGGAGAAAGGGCATGAAGAAGTCAAGGGAAAGATAAAAAGCTGCTTGTAAAAGGATGAAAAAGGCTCAGAAAGGAGAACAAAATGAAAGAAAGGAATAAAGGGGGGAATGGAATTGTGGGAGGTAAAGACAGATAGTTATACTGCATATTAATATTATATTCGTATGTGCTACTTTATTCTGTGCATTTATGGATAGGGATTGTTGCTGTTGTTGTGTGGCTCCATGTCATCTCTGACTTAGAGCAGTCCTAAGGCAAACCTATCAGAATTAATTAGGGAAGGTTTGCCTTTGCCTTCCTCTGAGGTGAGAGAGTGTGACTTGCCTAAGGCATCCAGTGGGTTTCCTTGGCTGAGCGGGGATTCGAACCCTGGTTTCCCAGAGTCCTAGTCCAACGTTCAAATCACTACAGCATGCTGGATCTCATGGACAGGAATACAAGCTGATAATTTATGATCATGAAAATGCAAATTTCACACAGCTTTCGGGCTCCCAGCGAGCGGCAGACTGAGCAAATGATGCTGCAGGGATTGTGTGCAGGTGCACTGTGCTTATGGCCGCACTGTGCTATGCTATAATAACTAGATTCCAGTATCAGTGGCAAAAGACCTTCAAGCTATCCTGCTCCCTAGCAAGAGCAGAATACTGACTTTCACAATGACAACTGCCAACGCATCCACATAAGCATTTTCACTTCTGGAGAGAGTCTAGTGTTATATAACCATCCCTCCCTAATTTCTCTGCAGACTTCTGGAAAAGAATTACCTTATCTTAAGCACCCATAAGGCAATCAAAGGAAAGCAAAACCACAGAAGTGAGAATTTTAAAAATAGTATTGTTTTCCTTGGAGCATTATTCCCACAAGGATATAAAATTCCTGCTTGTGGACAACTATAAAAAGAAGGGGGTGGGAGGCATTAACTGATGCTTAAGCAAAACAGAGTGTTGTATTTCATAACAGATGAATCTACAAAATGATTCTGGAGTACTTTAACAAGAACTCCTTTTTGCATCCCAACCCCACATTTAACTGGCAGGTACCATGACCTTATCCATGGAAGTAAGGCTACATCCGCACTGCAGAAATAACCCAGGCTGACACCACTTTTACTGCAATGGCTCCATGATATGGAATTCTGGGAACTGCAGTTTGGTGAGGCATCAGAGCTCTCTGACAGAGAAGCCTAAATGTCTCCCAAAATGACAATTCCCAGAATTGCATAGCATTAAGCAATGGCAGTTAAAGTGATGTCAACCTGGATTATTTCTGTAGTGTGAACGCAGCCTTACTGGGCTTGATCTCAAGACTGTAGCCTAAATATAGCAGCCTTTATCCTCAGCCTTGTCATTTGTACACACATTGTGAGCTAGTATGTATTTTTCCATGGGGGAATTGAAGCTGAGAAATCATGACCCTATCAAATAACTGATTTCCAAGAACATCCCAACACTCAGCTCAGTGAAACACAAACATCCCACTTGCATTAATATTTAAGACTATTCTGAAAAAAATGAATGATGGAACAAAATTAGTGATCCAAGCAAACTGCTTACATCAAAGGAAAACTGCTCACTTATTTCACAAAATAGGATTCAAAGCACCTAACCAACCACCAAAAAATCAAGTTTGAACATGCATTCTTAGGCCCAAAACACAATGCAGAAATAATCCATTTTGAGACTGCTTTAACTGCCTAGGTTCAATGCTAGGGACTTCTGGAAACTGTAGTTTTGTGAGTCATTTAGCTTTCTCTGTCAGAGAGCTCTGGCGCCACAATGAACTACAATTCCCAGGGCACTGAGCCAGGGCAGTTAAAGAGGTCTCAAACTGGATTATTTCTGCAATGTATTTTGGAACTTAAGAGTAGTATATTGAAAGCATCCCACCTTTGTATGATTTAATAAATGTACTCAGTCACCTGTTCAACTTGGTAGTCTATTTTGTTTTTATTCACTTTCACCTTCTACCAAGTGCTATAACTGAAAAGAAGTTCCAAATCAGTTTTTGCAGTATCCAACACAGCGAGAAGACAACTTAAAGATGACCCTCTTTATGAATGAAACACAGACATGACTTTTATTAAATCCCTGCCTTAGCACCTAGTGTGATCTAGTGGTTTGAGCGCTAGACTAGGACTCTGGAGAGCAGGGTTCAAACCCCTGCTTGGCCATGGAAACCCACTGGGTGACCTTGGGCAACTCACACTCTCTCAGCCTCATAGGAAGTAAAAGACAACCCCACCCCATCCCCGAACAAATCATGCCATGAAAACCCCGTGATAGGTTTTCACTTTAGGATTGCCATAAGTCAGAAATGACTTAAAGGGACCCTACAACACCTATTTGACAAGTAGCTCAAATACATTAAGCTACAGGTAGCTCAAATACATTAATATTTTTTAAAAAACAAAAACTTGTGATTAAGTTAAAGTTGAAAAGACTCTTGTTCAAGAAAATGCACATCCTGTAACTATAGTGCTCTCACAATCATCTTGTGCATTTTGCATACATGCCTTTTTCTGTTTTGCTACATAATGTATATTTTAAAGTAAATTCTCTTCCAAGAGATACAATTTTTAGACCTGATCTGTGAATTATTAACCATAACAATTTTTAAAAGTAGATTTCCCCGCCCTCAGTAAATATGTAGGAAATAACATCAAAATACTATAAATAACTTATTGATTTAAAAAAAAACACACATGTGCAAATAAACAAAGAAATACTACAGATCTATCATTTCAGTGGTGTTATGAAAATGAATTGTGAAAACTAAATGAACAAAAACAATGTGTGTGTGTGTGTGTGTATAAACAACCAAATTGTGTGACTTTGTATTGAACAAGATAAAAAGAAATAACATAAAAGGAAGGAACATAAACAAATACCAGACGATTTGGCCATAAATAAATCAAATCAAATACCAGGTGTGGGAAACAGTGTATGAATAAAAGGGGTTAAGGATGAATTTTTCCAAAAAAAGTAAGTTCTTATTACAAGATCCTTAGTGTTCTTCCTGAAAGTCTATTTAATCTGGGACTGATGAAACCATTTTTTCATTCTATTTATTTTAATATACAAAGGATCTAAAGACTTTCTGGTAATCTCGGCTTTCGTATTATATCCCACCCCCATTGCAGTACTTATGTTCAAAACTCTCAGTTGTCCTTCAAATCAGATTTAAACCATTAGAAATCTCCCCAAGGCAAGCAAACATCTACACCGCAGGCCCAGAAGCCAGCTATGTGCCATTATGCATTTAAATCCTGAGAGGATTCACAACCGCAGGGTGGGAGGGGGAAAGGGATATTTGTTTCACAAAGCCTGAAACCCAACACCATCCCTTGGTAGTTCTGGTTCTTATATATGCAGCTCACTGCACCAGAGTTAGCCTATGGGGGAAAGAAAAAAACATGAAGTGGAGATGAACTCTTTGCAGAGCAGCAGAAAGTGTAGGATCAACTATATTTGCAAACTGGAGAATGAAGGTGGAGCATCAGTAACAGATTGAACAATTTAAAAAGCCATTGAGAGACAAAGGGGGGTTGCAGACTGCCAGAAATAGTGCAAATTGAGTCCACTTTTAGGGTTAGGGTTAGTGATAGGGAATCATGGGAATTGTATTTTTTTCTGGGACATTGAGCCTTCTCTGTCAGAGAGCTCTGGTGCCACAATAAAACACAGTTCCCATGAATCCCTAACCCTAACCCCAACCCTTAAAGTGGACTCAATTTGCACTATTTCTGGCAGTCTGCAACCCCCCTAAATTTTGTTTATCCTGATCTACAATAATGGTGTGAAGGGGTGGAGACTAGACCCCCCCCCCATTCAAAAATAAAATTGCAGTTTCCAGCCGGAAACCACAGTCCTAGCCAGTGCAATTTTTTGTGCCTTCAATCTGATTAGTATCGCTTACTTCTCAAGTAAGCATGCAGTACAAACACGCCAGGTTAGCATCTGAGGCTCCAGTCTTATGAACAATGCTATGTGAAGAAGTGGATTGAAATCCATAGAAAGCTCATGCTGAAATAATGAAATAAGATCAGTTCATCTTAAAGATGGGGGGAAGACTAATAAATCCTCCCTCCCTTTTTTGGTACACTTTAAAAAACATTGCACTGCTTGCTTACCTGCATCCTCTCTCCCAGCACAAATCACTGCATTTTGGGTCATATTCCCAAGGCTTACTCATGTACCTTAACACTGCAATTCTACATCTGTTTACCTGGGAATGAGCCTGACTGGACTCTTGAGTATGTCTAGCCATGTGTGCCGTGTGCCTTCAAGTCATTTCCGACTTTTGGCAACCCTATCATGGGGTTTTCTTGGCAAGATTTGTTCAGAGGGGGGTTGCCATCGCTTTCCCCTGAGGCTGAGAGTGTGTGACTTGACCAAGGTCACCCAATCAGTTTCATAGAGCTACACTTTTAACCTGAGGGGGTGATGTCGGCCCCATGGAAACCCAATGAGGCTTCCTTTCCACCAGCAGACAAAAATTACGTTGAAAAATAAAAAGCTACTGGATGGTGAGTTCCTGCATGTCAGGGGGATGACCTTTCTGGTCTCTTCTAACTCTACGATCCTATGATTCTATAGGATGGATTGGTGAACCACCCATTCCTCCTACTCTATTGCTCTAGATTTAAACATCCCTCTCACGAACCCCAAGAACAAGGCAATGAAAAGGACAGTGCATTCCATCCCTAGTTACTTGCTTATTTTTAATTACCATGCACTCTGCAAATGGGTATTGATTATTATCCAACCGACTGGACAACGGCTGAGATGGAGACTGCCTCAGCCTCTCTGATTTCTACGGAGGACAGGAAAGCCTGGACCTCACCCTCTGCAAGCAACACAACATTTGTGGGCTGATGAAGAAGCATTTATCTATGGCCCACCTTTTCTCCCCAACAATGCTGAGAAATGCAAACTGCTATACTGCTCCTCTAAACAGAGTAGCAGCTCATGAAGATCAAGGGCTGTGTGTGTGTACACATATATATTTATATATATACGTGTGGGTGGGTGTCACTCACTTCATACACACACATACACACACCCCAGAAAGGTATACACACACACACCAGAAAGGCCATCCAGTGCATGTGTGTCACTCTCTCTCTCTCTCTCTCTCTATATATATATATATATATATACACACACACACACACACACACACATATATACACATACATACACAGTAGCCCCTCCGTTTTCATGGAGGATCTGTTTTGGACCCACCCACCCCGCAAAAACGGAACCTCACTAATAATCAAGCCTCATTGGCTCGATTGGCTGCGCGCTCCTGCGTGCGCCATTTAATTTAACCCGCCCCTCCGTGAATAATCAAGACTTCAAGTCCGCGAAAATGTAGGGGCAAGTGTATATATAGTTATAGTTATGAGCACCAGTGTGGTGTAGTGGTTTAAGTGTTCAACTATGACTCTGGAGACTAGAGTTTGATGCCCAACTTGGCCATGAACTTCACTGGGTGACCCCTGGACAAGTCACACTCTCTCAGCCTCAGGGGAGGGCAATAGCAAACACTCTCTGAAGAAGCTTGCCAAGAAAACCCCATGATAGGTTCACTTTAGGATTGCCATAAGTTGGAAACAACTTAAAGGTACATAAAAGTAAAAGGTAAAGGTATTTCCCATTGACAAGGTTGTCAAGTCGTGTCCACACACACATATATGTTGCTTATAGATAGATAGATATAGAGAGAGATCTATATATCTATAGATATATATAGTAATAGATTATATATGATGTAGTTATCCCCAAAGTGTTGCAGTTGACTATTGTTTTAAAACAGTGTTAAGCCGCCTTGAGTCCCATGACTGGGAGAAAGGCGGGATGGGAATGAATATTTTTTAATAATAATAATATTGGCAGCAATAATAATTGCATTGCTACTATTATTACAACATATGTAATATATATTATGATAATTATTATAGTAGCAATTGTAATACAATTAAAAATAGTAGTTGTAGCAGTAGCAATAAAATAGTAGTGGTAGCAATAGTACTAAAATAGTAGTTGTAGTAACAAGAATAGTAATAAAAAGTAGTAGTGGCAATTACAATAGTGATCAAATTTATAGAAGTAGCAGCAGTAGCAATAATAGTAAATGAATAAATTTAATAGCAGTAGTAGCAGTAATAGTAATAAATAAATAAAATTAATAGTAGTACTAATAGCAATAGTGATAAAATTAATAGTAGTAGCAGCAGTAGCAATGATAGTAATAAATAAACAAATAAACAAAATTAAAAGTAGCAGTATCAATAGTAATAAAATTAATAGTAGTTATAGCAATAACAGTAATAAGATTAATAGTAGTAGCCATAATAGTAATAAGATTAATAGTAATAGTGGTTGCAATAAGAGTAATACAATTAGTAGTAGTTGTTGCAATGATAGTAAGATTAATAGTAGTAGCCATAATAGTAATAAAATTAATAGTGGTACTAATGGTAATAATAGTAATAAGATTAATAGCAGTAGTTGCAATAATAGTAATAAGATTACTAACAGTAGTTATAATAGTAATAAGATTAATAGTGGTACTAGTGGTACTAATAGTAATCAGATTAATAGCAGTAGTTGCAATAACAGTAATACAATTAATAGTAGTAGTTGCAATGATAGTAAGATTAATAGTAGTAGTCATACTAGTAATATGATTAATAGCAGTCGTTGCAATAACAGTAATAAGATTAATAGTAGTAGCCCTAATAGTAATAAGTAATAAGATTAATAGTAGCAGCAGCAGCAGCAGTAGCCATAACAGTAATAAGATTAATAGTGGTAGTAGTGGTAATAATAATAATAATAATAATAATAATAATAATAATAATAATAATAATAATAATAACAACAATATGAAATAATAGTGATAAAATTAAATAATTGCAGCCACCACCACAGCCTTAATACCACTAATAAGCATTACTATTACGCTGCCTTTCATTCTGTGGGGCTTTCTCTCTCTCTCTCTCTCTCTCTCTCTGTGAGGGAAGCGAGGGCTCTCTCCGTCGGTTACCCAGAAGAATGGGGGCTCCGCTCCCGCCGCTCTCGGGCTCCCTTCCCTCGGAGAAGGCGAGCAGAAAGACGAGGAGGAAGAGGCAGGAGAGAAGCGAGGAGGGCGGAAGGGGGACCCCCC